TGGTGTTTTTGTACATTTTAGTTTACTAACTTAGTTCACAAAAGAACCTGATGAAAATTAGTGTTGGCATGGGGTCAGAATTTTGGGACCGTGCGGCTTGGAGCAATGATGCAGAGTTGAAAGGAAGAGGAAGCTGAGAGGAGCCATAAATATGAGTAGAAGGACAAACTTTAACAAACGTTTTGGGTTAGTTTAAGGAAAGCAGCACAGTTTTCTTCAGATGTTAACTCATAACATGTGGAACTGCACTTGGGGTTAGCAGTGCAAGCCTTCTTGTTTAGCATTGGACACCATCTGCACACCAATAACTACTGCTATATTAAATAGGCAGTACCTGCAGAATCATGAATTAAATTGATGATGTAGGAAAAGTAACAGGTTTTTTCTTGTTACTTTGTTCTACTATAGTTACATTATGCTACATTGTTTTATATGTGCTACAGCGAGTTATGTTGGTGAAAAACTTGATACATTGTATCCTGTTATCAGTCTTGCCCGCATTTTTTTATTAGTTTAATTAAGTACGAGAGCTTTTACATCTTTGCATAAAATCTGTATTTCTATTATTTTCTGCCTGCCAGTTGGGTAGATCTTAAGGAAGATCTCCAACTTCTCACAGGTATAAAACTCCTTAGTAAGTGACTGTATTTATTATTAATGTGTTCTTGTTGCTACAGGGTTAGCCTCTCTCCAAATCTCCATTTTCCCTACTGGATAGATCTGTCATTTACTGTATTGCCCCATCAGTGAATAACAATAATTGTGAATTAACTGTTTTGGAAAACCTTCATCTTTCCAGGAAAGGCCTAAGGAGGCTTCTTTTTTCCCTCCCCTTTTCTAATACAAGAACTTGATAGTTGTAGGACTCTCCCTGTGCATGCTCTTTAGTACAGTTAATACATGTATTATTCTGCTGATCTCAGTAGCCACAGTAACCACATGGTTACACAGTTAAGAGGGCTTGCTAGGTGTTAAGAGTTACTCTTACTGTTCTCCTGCATCCTTTGTTCACAGGGATTATACCTGATAATGATCTTCAAAATGTCAGTGTGTTTTTATTTTTATCTAGCTGTGACAGTCTTCCAGCAGATGTTATTTCCCTCCTACATTTATGTAAACTTTCACATGATGCTTCAAAAAGGCAGCTGAGAAGTCAACCAAAAGCAGGGGTGATTTGTATAAAGCCTCTCTATTAACTGAATCAAAGCTTCTGATTGTGGTTGCTATGTGCAAATCCAAACATTGCTGTCTGAAGAAGCTATTTCCATAACAATTTCTAGTGGGATCCATGATCAAGAAATAGTTAATGAAAAATGTGTTTTCTGGGATGTACTTGGTCAGTGTTTACTATAGTTACAGATACTGATAACCGAGGACATCAGTTCATGTCTAGCAGTTACAAAGTGCTGACTTCAAAAGGTTTTTCACTACCTGCTCTGCAGTAGTACAGACATCTGTTAAGAAACTGAATACTGCTTTATCATAAGTGGTTCTGCAGATGGGCAGGCCTCTGCATGGAGAGTCTTTCTGCGTGAATGTTCTGAAATCTGCTGTCGGGAATACCTTCTTATATTTACTTTAAAAGTGCGCTGAAAATATAATCCAGAAAAGATGTTTCTTGTAGTATCTGAGGAAAGTTGATGCCTGAAGAGATGCAAACTCAATTGAGGCAAATTATTTAACATACAGTTTTTGGCAATTCTAAAAGTAGTAACACAACTAAAGTTATTTAAGAAAACATTGACGTAATGTAGCAGTGCAAATACATTTGCTATATAAATATGCAAATATAATTTCTGTAAATAAGCAAATGTATTTCTACAGGTGTATCAGGAGATATTAAGATTTTGCACCTGTTGGAGGTTTTTTTGCTTGTTTGATTGGTTGGGTGTGTTTTGTTGTGGGTTTTTTTTGTTTCGGACGTGAATAAAAAATGGTTTATATGGTATCTGGGGTTTTTATTTTAATGTACAGGAATTTGAAAAATTAATTGGGCCTTTCTAATGGATAGATATCATTGAGCTTTCTGCAGGTCCATGTAATATTATATGTTATATTATATGTTCATATGTAAGTCAGACTGGACTGAATGGTCTTGTCTAGACTTACTGTCTGAATGTCTGTAAGGACTGGTTTCTCAGCTTGAAATAATTTCTGAATTGGTGGAGATTAGTTGGTTATTATTGCCCAAGATGACATCCTCAGCCTTTTCTACATTATTACTGAAGTAATTCCAAGTCAAATTTGATTAAGTACAGGGTGTTAAACCCTGAAAACACCTATAGGTGAAACAGATAATTTTGCACTTGCCCATGGTGAAGAGTGTGCAAGGCTTTGAGAGTGGTGCAGATGGGGATGCTTCAGAAGTGCAAAGAGACATTTTCATGCTTTTTAACGTAATGAAGTCATCTCTTCTCAGCAATCTGAGGCTTTCTTGGTATTTCAGCACAGGAATTTGTTCTTTCTGCCAATTACCTATGAAATTATTACTAAAACAAAACATGTCACTGTCATGATGTCCCTTCAGTTTCTGTTCTGTGAGTGTCACTGAGACATTAAGTTGTGTAAATGGACTCCATTGCTAGATTTGCATTGGCACCTGTCTAGCTTACATTGCAGCTACTGTGCTGCCCTGAGATTATCTCATGGTACCTTTTGCACACATACAGCTCATTTGGTCAACAGATTTCATCACAATTGCAATTTCTTTGGTATGTGTAATGAATAATGCAATAGGAGAATGATAGCACTGTGCAATATTGAGTGTTCATTAATGTACATGTTCCTTCTAATCCTTTTAAAAATACCTTATTGAAGCTTATTTGTACTCATCTGCGCATATTACAGTAGTTTTGATTTCAGTAATCCTTTGTGCCAAGAATAAATTGAGCAGTAGGACGTTTATGTGGTATGAAAGCTTCTTTTTGGTTGCTTTTTCTATCTGACTTCTCTGACACGAAACAAGGCTTATATCTGCCAGCTGTCTTGCTGCTACTTCCTTTAGTTAGCACTGGTTTCAGAAATCTGGTTCTTTGAAACAGATTGTCTGAAAGTGTGTATTTGAAGTACATTTCCTAGCATTTGAACAGTGTATTCATTATATGAAACTACAGTATCTCTTGCCCCTCACCTTTTTTTGTACTCATTTGTGTTTTTTTAGTCTTTTGTAATGTGTTATACCTGTAATACTGCATTCATATAGGGTGGAAGATGAATTCCACTCAAAGTGGTGGTATGAGGCGCTGTGTAATGGGCTTGGATTCACTGCATCCATGAAACCCACATCATTCTATGAAACAGCCAAATACATTTAACAGGATTGTGCAAGGTGATAAATGTTTGGTACCTGATAACTGGTATGAAAAGTGTTTCCATTCTCTTCGCATCCTGTCTGCAAAAGTGATGGACAGTGAAGCTGACACTGTCATTATTTGCTCAGAGTTAGAATTGCAGTGACGTTATCTGACTTGCAGTGCAAAAGCTTGCATATCTGCATCATCCTTTGGGGCAGTTAACAGAAACAGGGAAGATGACATTAATTAAACTGGATTGATACCTGGAAGCTTTAGATTAAGCCCTAAGGCCTAGATCTTGTTGTGTTTTGGCTTATGTTGTTTTTAGGCTTATTTCATTACTTCTCTTTCAGACATTAGAAATCCGTGAAGCCATCTGTATGTATTGCCTGCTCTACTTAATATAAGAGCTCTTAAGAGAGTCTCAGCATGTGTTTTCTGTAAGATGATCCTGCAGTGCTTATTGTAGGACTCAGATTAATGGAAGTGGTATAATGTGTAATATTTAAGTGTTCATATCCCCTCTTTTTGCACAACCATAGATACTTGTATTGATGTGTGGTTTAGATTCCAGTGCTACTGTCCATTTTGATTTTATCACATGTGATTCATAGAGGAAGATTTCCTAGAACTGTGATCCAGTCTTGAGCCCTCCATGTATATTGCAAATCTGGTAACCATTGAGCCCTTTTTTTTGTGGTAGTAAAAGGCTGATGATGTTGCCCTAGACCTCCCTGGATTTTATGTTTTCAAGTGTGTTGCACTGTGATTTGCACACATCTTACTTTGTAAATGAGTAAACAAGTTTACCAAGTTACAAGGATGGATTAAGAAAGAAAATCAGTAGTGTTGCTACATTATTGATATATACCAAGGCTATTAAAGGAATGTATCACAGGTATAAGTTCTTAAGCACCATTAAGCTTTTTTTAATGGAGTTAAGCTTTTTTCAGTGATGACCAGTGATAGGACAAGGAGTAGTGGATGCAAACTGGAGCATAGGAGGTTCAATGTGAATATAAGAAAAAACTATTTACCGTGAGAGTGAAAGAGCCCTGGAACAGGCTGCCCAGAGAGGTTGTGGAGTCTCCTTCACTGGAGACATTCAAAACTCACCTGGACCTGTTCCTGTGTGATGTTCTCTAGGTGACCCTGCTCTGGCAGGGGAGTTGGACTAGATGTTCTTTTGAGGTCCCTTCCTACCCCTAGGATTCTGTGATTCTGTGATCCTTGTGATGGGTGATAAATTAATTTTATAGTCTTACTTGAATTTTTCAGCGTGGCTTATTGCATTATGCTGTGTTCTTTGCTTTTTATTGCTGAGTATCTTCAGGTTATTTCCCCTTCCCCACTCCTCAGTTTACTTTATGTAATTGTGCAAGTGAACAAATATGCAAGCTTAAGTTATCCAGTGATAAAAATATTTTATTATGTAAATTAATATTGCATATTAGTTAGGTCATTATTATTATTAGGTCATTATTATTATGCTACTTGGATCTTTATTATATTAAACAGTTTATGAGAAATTTCAGAAGTGTGATGAACATACGAACAGAAATTTCAGCTTTAATAGATGTTCCAAGCCAGGTAATATATCAATAAAAGGAAGTGAATTCTTCATATGTATATATAATGATAAACAGTTTTTGAGAAGAAGTTACACTGTGTGTTATTGATTATGTTTAATCTTTTTTCTTTTTCCAGTTGTCCGTATTTGTCAGAGAAGATTACACCTGCTATACCTGCAATTGGTGGGATTCTTTTCTTTTTCGTGATGGGGACCCTGCTGCGTACCAGTTTCAGTGATCCTGGTGTCCTCCCACGCGCTACACCAGATGAAGCAGCAGATCTAGAGAGACAAATAGGTAACACTGAAGGTCTGTTGTTTCTTCGCTTTCCTCCCCGAGGGTGCATGTAACTGTGTGAAGGCAGTGTGCTGCTCTGCTCTTGGGAGGAGTTACTCCTATGTTGCCACAGGAGTTGTTCTGGAGTTGTAATGTCTGGTGACATTGCAGCGATTCCTGTGGAAAGATGGTTGATCAGTTCTTCACTGAGAAAGGTAGTAAACAAAATTCCAGCCCTGGAGAGTGATAGCTATTGCTGTAAACATTTTTCAGTAAGTATTGTTGAAGTCTCTATGGTGCACAGTAGAATACTTTCAAAATTGTTCTTGGCAAGAAATCTGATATTGCAAACGTTCTACACTGGTGCATTTTTAAAGAAATGAACCCTCGGAGTTTAAGTGAATTTAATTACGTTATTGTTTATATTGTGAAAGAGTCTGATAAGTCTGTGGTAATATACACTCTCCTAAGTTGATGCAGTCTTGGAAAGATTTTTCTTCAGTAACAGTAATAAAACACTACTATTTTTGTCTATGTAAACCAAACACAGTTTAAGTAGACTGAACTAGATTTCAGTCAGCCTCATTTATCAAGAGAATTATTAACTAAATTATAATTGTGGAATTTCTACAGCTACAAATAGGCTGAATAGCTTAAATGTGCTGCCTGGGTAAGAAAACACTGCATGAGTTTGTATAACTGTTTTATAAAACAGTGGGTTTGCTTATTTTTTGGTAAGCTACTAAAGCTTACTAAAGGATCTATATCTCCTTTGACATGGTAGTCCCATGAATCCTGTGGGAATCCCGTGTTCAGAAGCAATTTCAGAGGAACTCCTACTCATAAAATTGAAAAGACAGGTAAAAGGTTTATGCAAGGAGAGGAGTGTACTATAGTACAATGTTAGGCTTTGTTTACTGTGACAAATTACTTAGTGCACTAAAAGCAAGTGAATGCACTAAAGCTGTCGTTGTGGATGCTTCTGCATCTATGAAGTGTGAATTTGAGAGTTTTACTTCAGACTGGGTTTTGTCTGGTTCTCTCAGACTATATATCCTCCACAAAGCATTTATGCAAATGTCTGCAGGGCAATATCACTGGTTTAAACTCCTACACCATGTTCTGGGGTAGAGTTCACTTGATGTACAGGAGGAACAGAAGTTCTGGTTTACTTTCCTCAGAAAGCACAAGTAGTTTGTACACACAAAAATCACACCATAAAACTGTGCTAGTAACTGGGAATGGTAGGAGAATTCATGTCAAAATAGGAAAATATTAACAATATAACCTTAGTTTCCTCTTACTTAGCAGTTAGGAGACAGTAAGCACATCATGACAACTTATCTTCCACTTAAGAGACCTTTCAGATAAAAAAAATAATTGCTAAGGTAAAACAAAAAAAGAATAATGACTCATGTTCACTGTTTTAGGCTTTTCTGTCTTCCTCAGCCTTCTTGTAGGCCCCTTTCAGGTACTGGAAGGTCCCCTGGAGTCTTCTCTTTTTCAGGCTGAACAACCACAACTCCCTCAGCATGTCTTCATAAGAGAGGTGCTCCAGCCCTCATGTAACATGGTTATTGGACTTCGTGTGTGAAGGCTGAGATGTGTATTTCACCAAATATCATAGACTTGGTATAGCTTTCTAAAAACAGTGTATTCTGCTGGCATTCACATCTCAGGAGGAAAACCTAAATTGCTTTTATACATTGTTTGGACTAATTGTGCAGAGCCAGGAGCCAGCTGTCATTGCCATGACGGGAAGGAGTTTACATTTAGCCAGTCAGTGCTTAGCTTTGGGCAAGGACCATACTGTACATAGTATAGGGGGTAGGAAACTGTTAAATCCTAGATGACCCACATAGCTCATTCATTCATATAAATTTCTTCTGTTTGCTTACTTTCTGATATGGCACTCTGGATTATATAAAAAGAAAATCTTCAGTCAACCTCCACTTGCTTGCCATAAAGAAATTAAATCTACACTCCCAAAAAAACCTATTAAAAATGGATGTGGAATGTGTTAATACTGGGTAACTGGAGTTCTCTTCAAACTCAATTTCAGTCCTTGCTTGCGTAATCTAAGAATTCCTAATATTCACAGAGCCCAGATATATAGAAAACAGATGCCAAAGTTCAGATTTGTGTTGTTGGGAAAGCTAACAGATTTCTTAGGGAAACTGATTTTTAAAGCTTATTTTTTAGCTTTTGCCAGTGCTGTCACTGTGAATGTTTTTTAGAATCAGAGTATATGATGTGCTGCACATAAGTGTCTAAGTTGCTATATTGGGCAGTGGCATTATTTTTATATCTGGGAAGTAAAGGATGGAGAATGGGGAAAAAAGGCATCTCAGAACTATTTAGGGAAATGTGGGAAAAACTGTAATTTCTCCCTCCTTTCTCCTTTTTGCCCCAGCCTCTTCCTAAAAAAAGTTATTCTCTCTGTGGGAATAACTTGTGGGAAGAGGGTGGAATTCAGGCATGTATATTCCTTAGTGTTGCCAAAAAGGAATGCCCCTGTATATCATAAAATTGTGTAATTATTTGCTGATAAAAAATGGTTTAAAATTTAGAGCTTTCCGGAAAGAGCCATTTTGAAATAGAGCTTTCTGTGTAATCATTTTGTTTCTGCTGTAATTACTGTGATGGCTCACAAGAATTCTGTGGGTTTTAATTGTTTTCCTTCAGTTTTATTAATGTAGCGTTTGAGGAGCAGTGGACATTCTTTGCCTAGTTCAGTACTGAAGTTCCCAGTAAAATGTCTTATGTTTGTACAGTAAATATATTTATTAGATATTTGAAATAATAAGAATATCTTTCTATTTTAATAACCTCCCATACAACTTTACTGAAGACCTTAGGTTTCTGCTAAAACTTTAAACTTCATGAGTTTCCACCATGACCTCTCCCAGCTGTTTTAAGTCCAGCAATCCCAGCACTCCTATTTTTCTGTTCCTGTGGTGGAGCACAAATAGTCTTAATTTGCAAGTAATCATCCTGGTCTCTGCTGTCCTAGTGATGGGTAACAGAATCTAAGCTGTTTCCAAAGAATAGAAGTAGATGTTTACCACACCTGATATGAGTTACTTATAACATTTAATAAAGGAAGCAGCACTGCTTTCAAATAAAATAAAACATGAATGATGCTTTTAAAAGCTTAAATTATGGGGAGAGAAAAAAAAAAAGAAGTAGTATGTTTCATTACATTTTGCCTATATCTAATTTGACATATAAAGATAGTTTAGAAAAGAAAGTTTATCAACTATTTGATATATGAATATCAAACTTATATGCATACAATGAACCCATTTGTGTTAGCTGCCCTTCTACCTTCTCAGAAAAGCAGCATTGTGTGGGACACTGCTGCACCTAATCAGGAGAGGTTCTCATTAGGTAAAGGTTGGAGCACCATTGGAGGTTCCTCCTCCACTGAGGTGTCCCCATCTCTCTTCTGCCAAAACTTGTGCAATGGAAGTTGCCTGCTAAGCTCAGAGGCTACAACATGTGGTAGAACTAAGCTTATTTCTTCACATTCTCCAGTATGGTACAGGTATTGAAATATTTGTTATTCACTGAGTTTCAGAAGTGCTTGAATCATATTGCTTAAACCTCACAAAGTCCTTTTAGTTTTTTAAGCATAAAAATGTGGAAAAATAAAATGAAGCATTCATTTAGCACCTTTTCCTAATCAGTGTTCATTGATCACTTTCAAGGAACACTTTATCTAGAGTAACCAGCTTTAGTCCAAAATAGAAGCATGGATTCTTCTTCAAAGAATTGTTTATTTACTCTGTGTTCAAAGGAAAATCAATCTATATCAGCAAATTATTTCAAATAAGCAGCTGACAGTAATAATTTTTCCTTGAAGAAAGAGTCTGTCAGATAGAGAGTTTTCGCTGAATACAAAATGAAAATATAAAATGGATACTGAAAAAGAGAGATTTATTAAAATGTTCATTAAGAGAGTAAAATTTTTTTTTACCTAATTGTTTCTTTTATAAAATTTGTGTATGTAGTATGTCCAACCTTTGGTTTGTACTCTTCCCAAGTTGTTCTTAGACACTTGGGACTTACTGTCCGTCTCATTGGGAAGCAGCCTCACAGAAATTAATACAGATGCAGTGAGAAATTGTTATGTCCCAAGAGGAGTAACTGTGATTTAAGAATGCAATTTCAAAGTTCTTTTGAAGCTTATTAAACTTTGTTTGTACATCAGAAAGCATAGAATAGGATGAGCTGATTAAGGAGAGCAGTTCTTAAAATAAGACCTTATAAAGAAACTGCCAGTATTCCATTCATTCAAGTGACTTTTTGGAAACAGGGTGGTCATGCTGACAGTGTAAAGTGTGTCCTAGGCTATCACCTCTGTCCAGGTTAAGATGGAGGACTAACAGATCTGTGATGCTGCTGTTTCCTCCACCAGGGTATGGGCATAGAAAGCAGTTGTTTCTTGAGTGTTTGGTGATGTGATAGTAGCCCATTCATCTGTGTTCACAGCAACACAAAAAGTAAAAGGAATTGCAAAAACTGAAGGATGCCCACGAAGCAAAAGGGCCCTCTCTTATAGAGAAATGTTATATTAAATGCACACCATCGACCTATCCTCATACAGAGGAACGTATAGGAAGAGGCCATTCTCTCTGTATTTGTAGCTTTATGAAGATTGCAGTCAGATTGTATCAGAAGAGGAGACAGTTTCTAAGGATGAGTATAAAGAGGTAGTACAAGCATAGAGGGAAAGTGTCAAAAAGGAAAAAGGGAAATAAATCAGGTACAACCAGCAAGGAACAATAGGAGACAACAGCACAGGTTCTGTTACAGGTCAGAGGAAGAAAGAGAGGCTGAAGGCATGCTGTGTAATTGGGAAATGAGAAATAACAGAGGGCAGTCTGAAGGATTCAACACTGCTTTGATCTCAGAAGTGAACTTGCACACTTCTTGCCACCTAATAAGGAGTGCAGATCAGAAGAAGGAAAGTAGTAGATAAAAGAAAAAGAAGAATCTCTCAAATTACTGAATCTGTCTATCTCATATTC